ACCCCGCGTCCTTCCTGCCGTCTCGCTCCTCGTCCTCTTCTCACTCGCGATGGTGATTGCTGGCGAGTCGTGGCTAACGCCATCGCACGCTGCCGCTGTGTCAACGGTGAGCGGAAGGTCCCCACCTGCATTAGTCTCGGGGATTGCTGCGCTGAAGCCGCCAGTCCCACCTGCCCCGAAGCCGGCGCCTCCTGCCGCTGGTGTCTCACTGCCTCTGGATCCACTCCTCGTAACGAGCGCGGCTCTGCCGTCGCCGCTGCCCGTTCTGCCTGCCTTTGTTGTCGACTTGGACCCTCCGCCTCCCGTCGAGGCTCCTGCAGGCGCCGCTCCTGCTGTTCTGTCCGCTGTCCCTGTGAACACTGTGGCAGCCCTGCTGTTGCTCCGCCTGTCCCAGGAGTCCCTGCCTCAGCACCCACCGTTGTTGACCTTGTTGCGCCTGTTGCGGCCGTTGCTTCGTCACCGATGGCGGAGTCTTCCACCACTACCGACCAGGCCCCAGTTGTAGCGCAGGCGGCGGCCGTTCCGACGGCTGTCCAGGTAGTTCCTGATCCTGCTCCGCCTGTCGCCGCCCCGCCTGCTCGACGTCCGCCGTCTCCGGGCCGCCAACAGCCTCGGCCCCATTCCCCTGCGCCTCGTGACGAGCGCGCAACGTCGCGGCGGCGCCACGATTCCCCTCGGCGCCGTGGTCCTGAGGCGAACTTGCATGAGACTCGTGGCGGTCGTGGTGGGTGGTGGGGAGGGCGCGGTCGTGGTGGTGGCTGGGCGTATGAACAGCCCGTGACGATGGCGGATCTTCAGCGCGCCGTTTCTGCTGCGGTGCGCGAGGAGCGAAACGGGCAGGCGAGAGAGAGCAACTTGCCGCGTGTTACTCTGCCCCTCGTGCCTCCTCCTCCTGTTGCGCTCCCTATGCCTGCCACTCTGCCTCCGCCGGCAGCTGCTCCGCCTCCCCCTGCTCCCTCTGCATTTGCTGTTGTTCCGGCGGGTCATGTGGAGCAATTGCAGGCGTGGGCGGGACCTCCTTGCATGGCTGAGGTCCCCGAGGCGTCGCTTGGGCAGCTGTGGCGCCTCGCAGAGGGCTTGCGGGCCGTGCACCTGATCCAGGCGTACGGTCATGCAGCTCTTGCTCCTGGAGGCTCACTAGATGGTCGCCAACGGGACGAGTGTCTTGATGTTGTTGTCCGCTCTCTGACTGGGCTCCTGGCGGTTCTTGGCGCGGATCAGTTCTAGTGCCTGCCTCCTCCTGCTCCATTGTTGTTTGCGTAGCTTTTAAGCAGTAGGTTTTGCCATTGCTTGTGTGCTCCTGAATATACCGACTTGTGTTTGTGGACCCTTGCTGCCCCGCTCGGTTAGGAGAGAAACCCAACCAAAAACTGAATAATGAAGAGGCAACAAGGCCTGCTGGGGCCTTTATACTAGGACTTGGGAGGCTTTGGAGGCTAGGGGAGGCTTGAGAGGCTAAGTCACTAGGTGCCTCTCTCTCTCTCTCCTCTCCCACGAGCCGCTCGGTTAGGAGAGAAACCCAACCAAAAACTGAATAATGAAGAGGCAACAAGGCCTGCTGAGGCCTTTATACTAGGACTTGGGAGGCTTTGGAGGCTAGGGGAGGCTTGAGAGGCTAAGTCACTAGGTGCCTCTCTCTCTCTCTCTCTCTCCCCTCTTCTGCGAGCCGCTCGGTTAGGAGAGAAACCCAACCAAAAACCGAATAATGAAGAGGCAACAAGGCCTGTTGAGGCCTTTATACTAGGACTTGGGAGGCTTTGGAGGCTAGGGGAGGCTTGAGAGGCTAAGTCACTAGGTGCCTCTCTCTCTCTCTCTCTCTCTCTCTCTCCTCTCCCGCGAGGTTAGGAGAGAAACCCAACCAAAAACTAAATAATGAAGAGGCAACAAGGCCTGCTGAGGATTGTTGTAGGGCGAGGGTTGGGTTGGTAGGGTTTGAACAACTCGTCACTTTGCAGATCTGAACTCTTGCTAAAGCTACTTTCTTGATCTAATCCATGGCTGCCAAGTAATTTCGCCAGGATACCCCGTCGCACTTAAATCACGATAGCGATCGGCCTAGATCTTGGTTGAAGGCATGCGTTACCAATCAGGAAAGTAGAAATTAAGCCGTTTCCAATGCGTACCTGCTCATAGTTTAAGGTTACGTGAGCTGCACGCAATGTTCCGTCGAAGTCGGCGGACTTAATCTCTTGTACGCTCCACAGATTCGCTTGCTTTCCATCAGTGGTATGAGAGCTGGTTAGGCCTGCGACACTCCCTCCTATTATCATATTTCGAATTGGCTTAAGAACCTCCAGATCTAGGGTTAGTTATGGCCCAGAAATTAGATGGCCCTCCTAGGTTCACCGGCTCGGATTTTTCGCTATGGCGATTCCAGTTTACGCTTTGGCTAGGTATTAAAGACCTAGAGGGCGTTTTGGAGGGATCAGAGCGAAGACCTGAAGCTGATGAAGGAAAGGCATCTACTGGAATATCTAGCCAAGTGAGAGAAGGGGCTGGGGGAGCCTCTAGCTCATCCATAACTAAGGGAAGTGGAGGTGGATCAGCAGCACTGCGAACCGGAAGGCAACGGCCTAGTGCGGAGGAGATTGTTAAGGCACAGGAAGCATGGGACCGCAAGGACAAGCAAGCCTTCCAGTACCTGTGTTGGGCCTTGGAAGGCCAACTAGAGCTCCTAAAGATGCTGATTGACCTGAAGGGGAACCAAGGAGCAGCTGCCCAAGCATGGAAGAGAGTTCAAGATCGGCACTTGCAAAAAGGGCTGCTAAGCATACTCACCTGAAGGAAGCGGTTTTACACCATGGAACGCAACTATGGGGATGGGGAGAACATGGTGCAGTATCTCCAGAGGGTGGATGAGTATGTGAGAGCCTTAGAGGAGTTGAACTACACTGTAGATGAGAAGGAGATCATCTACACCGCACTCCATGGGCTGGACCAAGAGGCGAACGAGGCCTTACTACAGTACCTTCACCTTGAGCAACAGAAATGGACCAAGGCCTGGATAGGGGAGGTGTTGGTCTCTGATAAGGCTCGCAAACGGGATGCTGGTAGAGGAGTTGAAGGGGGAATGGGGGCAGGTGATAGGGCTGCATCCAAGAAATACCGGCAGCGGCATGGAGGTGGGGGGAAGAAGAAGGAGCTCGACAAGTGCCTCGTCCTTGGATGCAACCGGAAGCACTCTTGGAAGGAGTGCTGGAGCCGACCAGATGGGTGGAAGCCTCAAGGGTACCCAGGAGAGGCTCCACCTGTCAATAGGACTGAGTGGGTGGAGAGGAGGATGAAGAATGGAGCATGGAACAAGAAGGGCAGGAAAGAGAAAGCGGCAGCAGCGGCGGCAAACGAGGATAAGAATGTTAGAAGGAAATGCTGCCATGAGCAACAAAAAATCTGCACTGGGATTCGAACTCGTGACCTTCAAATCTGTCCTGAAAGTGTCTCAGGACAGATTCAGGACAGTTTCTGCTAAGGCGCATGTTATGGTGCACGCGAGTTTCGAACTGGAGACCTTTCTATTCAAGTGTCCCGAAAGTGACCTGTCAGGACAGTTTGGGGACAGATTGGGGACACTTTGGCGAAATCAATCTCGGGTCGCGTTCGGTTTGAAACTCGTACGGGAGTTACAGTCGGTGGTCGACGGAATTCTTGTCGCGGAAATTCTCGTCTACGGAATTCCAGTCAATGGAATTCGCTCGGCAAAATTCAAGGCTCCGAATTTCGCGTCGATGAAACTCAACGTGCCACCCGGGTCGACACTTTCTTGTGTGCTTTTATTTTGTATTGCGTCCTAGTATAAAACCAGAGAGCACAAACCAGAAATCAACCAAGTCATTATTACTGCTATGTTTGTGTGTAACTCTGGATATAGTGGACCGTTTCCTGCAATCTTTGGTGCGTTGGAATCGTGATTCTGAGCTCTATCAAGCTGCTATAGCAGTGGAATTCTACATGGTATCAGAGCTGCGTTATCTGCGTTGATCCAACTAGCGGCTTGATTCCGTCCTCCCGTCACTTCGTTCCTACGTTGGTGTGGCCGACGCTCGTTTTGACCGCGCATGGAGTGGTTAACGAGCATTGAGGGCCTGAATGCCCGTCAGGAGTTGGAGGCGTCCGTTCGTGAGCACCACCCTAACTTGCATGATGAGGTTGTCGACCTCATTGTGGATGGCCGACTACTACGCATGGTTCGGGAGTGCGCGGCGGAGCAAGCACCTGCGAGCGGCCAGCAAGGAGGAATCGGTAAAGGAGAAGCTGTGCACGAGGCTCCTGGTGCCGTGGGCATTGATGAACGAGCTGTTGCACCGACCATTAACACGGGAATGATCGGGACGAGCTACGGTCAATTCAAGTTTGGAGTTGAACACATCTCCGTGAAGCCGCTGCTGGGGGGAAGGCACGACCTTACTGCGTGGGTGAGCGCCATCCGACCTCAGCTCTAGTGTGCTGATTTGTGGCAGTTTTGCAACGGGACAGCACCAAGCCCAGCCCCGAACAACCCCTTGCAACGAAGGGAGTACGCAAAGGGCCAAATGCTTGCATTCATGGTGCTGAACCGATGTGTTTCTCCACCCATCCGAATGTCCATCTCTGGTTTCTCTCATCGAGAGAAAGCCGAGCAGCTAGCATGGGCATATATCCTATCTACTTATCAAGTTCGTGATGCCCTCCACGCTTCCCTACTTCAGACCCAGTTAGCCCAACTCAGGAAGGGAGATGATGAGACGGCGGAATCCTACTGGAAGAGGGCCCGCACCATCCGAGCGGAGCTACTGACCACTGGATAGGAGGTCCACATGGCTACGTTTGCCGCTCACATGCTGAAGGGCCTGCCACCAGAGTACGGATTTCTTCGCCGCAAGCTCGAAATTTCCAGCCCTGACATGACGGTGGAACACGTGTGCAGCGAGGTGTTGATGGAGGAGCAGACTCTCTCCATCGAACAGAGTTAGAAGCAGATCACCAGCGATGAATCTAGTTTCTCGGGCGCTGTCAACACCACCATGGCTACAACAGAGGTCAACGGGAAGGAAGGAAAAGGGGAAAGGGAGCAGACGGACAAGAAGAAGGATGGCAAGCGGGAGAAGATGCAAGCCCCCTTCAAGGGGCGCTGCTACAACTGCAATGAGGAGGGGTACATGGCTGCCAAGTGCCCCAACAAGAAGAAAGATACAACGCATGCGGCAGCCGCGAATGTAGCTGAAGGAGACGGGAAGGGTGTGGCGCTCACCGTCGCATGTTCGGCTGCAAAGTTGCTGGCCGACGACAAGGACTTGTGGTTCCTTGACTCAGGACGCTCCCAACACATGACCGGCCGCAAGGATTGGTTCACGGTGATCCGCGACCCATCTGCAACGAAATCAGTCAAAGGGTTTGATGGTTCTATGCACGAAGTTGCCGGTGTTGGTGAGGTTTTGCTGGAGGGCACTAACGGCTTGCGTGTGACCCTACATGATGTCCTCTTTGTGCCAGGAATGACGGCCAACTTGGTCTCCTCTGGGCAGCTCTTGGACAAGGGAGCAAAGCTGCAAACTGAGGAAGGTGTCACTCGCATCATCGCATCAGAATGTCAAGTGGCTGCAACGGCACGATACCGCCATCGCCTTCACTGCCTTGACCTGAAACCGGGGCCAGCAAGGAACGGTGCAACGGCTGCAGCGGCATGCAACGGCACGGCGGCTGCAGCGGCATGCACCAACATGGTGGGTGGAGTGGCGAGCAACAGCACAGGGGCTGCAGCGGCATGCAACGGCACGGCGACTGCAGCAACATGCAATGGCAGGGCGGCTGCGGCAACATGCAACGGCAGGGCGGCTGCGGCGGCATGCAACAGCACGGTGGCTGCAGCAATATGCAACAATACGGCGGCATGCAATGGCATGGCGGCTGAGGTGGCATGCAATGGTATGCCTAAAACATTTTCTGAGGTGGTGTTAAGCGCGCCGGAAGAGAATGACAAAGCGGCCAACCTCACAACATATGTAGTGGGGACCGAGGCGATGCTCAACCTGCGGCACACTCACCTTGAGAATGACCATGCTGGTGTGGCGCAGTGGACAGCCACAAACTGTGGCATGCTAGGCATGGACCTAGAGAAAGGAGGGGAGGACACGTCGAGCGCCTCCTCCCAAGATGCCAAACTCACTCGTCAAACGCTTCCGCTGCCTGACGAGCGAGAGGGGGAGGTTCTTGGGATGGTCCATGGCCCTGAGCAGAACCAGCCGCCGTCACGTATCGTCATCATAATCTCAGTGCCATCCGTGCAAGGGGGCAAACAACCGTTTGATCGTTCGGTTGACCATGTGGGCAGCAACGCAACCATGGCTCCGCCAGCTCTCTGTCCATCCTTAGCTGCTGGCTTGGCATCTGTGGGACCACAGGTTGGTCCCTCTGCGGATGGACGTCGTGCGGCTGATGAAGACAAGGAAGGAGAGGCAACGGACCTGAAATCGGCGGCAACCCATGGGAAGGACCCCATACCCACGGTTCCGCCCCTCCATCCCACTCCCCCACCCCCATGTCATTCTAGCAGGTCCAACAAGGGTATGCCACCTGCTCGGCTTCCCGCATCCACCATGACAGCCTTAGATGCGGTTGATGGCAACAACATGTATGGCATTGCATTGCTTGCTGGAGGTGCTTATGGCACGGACATCTACTATGATGTGGAGTACTTGGATGAGGCTGATGAGGAGGAAGGGGGATTGAGGAGCATCATCATCAACCTCGAGGTAACCTTGACCGGACCTGAAGGCAAGGTGGTGGACAAAGGTCTCCTCGTGGTGGACTACATGTCATCCACGGAAGGCTATCTTGGTCTGCAGATTGTGTGCGACCACCCCAACAAGACGCTCCTCCTGCACCAGAATGCATGTGGCGAAGGTGCAGCAGCGGTTCTTCAAGGGGGCGCCACTGAAGAAGCAGCCGATCACCCCTCTCTCCTCTACCAGCTTTGTCATGGAGGATGCTGAGCTGTTTGCCGATCACACCATGACCAACCGCCTTGCAGCAGGTACACACCTCAGGACGGATGCGCATTGGCATATGTAAGCTCATCCGCACACTCTCCTACTAGGCTGCCTCACCGGACAAGGGGCTGCTGTTGAAGGGAGGACCAGAGAGTTCGACTCTCGTAGGGTATGCGGATGCGGATGATGTAGGCGACAAGGAGAACCGGTCGTCCACGGGAGGCTACCTCTTCAAGCTTGGTGGAGCTGCCGTTTCATGGCAGGCCAAGAAGCTACAGGGTGCGACCAAACTTTCCTCCACCGAGAGCGAGCTTGTGGCTGCGGTGGAAGCGGGAAAGGTTCCTGCTGTGGGAGTTTCAACTGCTCAAGAAGGGTGTCCCCACCACCATGTACGTCGACAACATGGCAGCGGTGCAGCTCAGCCAGGCGGGCGGGCTGCAGGGGCTCATGAAGCATGTGGACCGTCGCCACATGTGGCTACAGGACATGGTGCGCATAAAGAAGTTGGAGGTGCAACACATCCCTACGATGGCGCAGCCCGCAAACTTCTTCACGAAGCGGCTCGATAAGGCAGTCTTCAACCGATGCTGTGCAGCAGCCGGGCTGGTCCAGCGTGCTCCTGACAGCAAGGGGGCGCGTTAGAAGGAAATGCTGCCATGAGCAACAAAATGTCTGCGCTGGGATTCGAACTCGTGACCTTCAAATCTGTCCTGAAAGTGTCTCAGGACAGATTCAGGACAGTTTCTGCTAAGGCGCAAGTTATGGTGCACGCGAATTTCAAACTGGAGACCTTTCGATTCAAGCGTCCCGAAAGTGACCTGTCAGGACAGTTTGGGGACAGATTGGGGACAGTTTGGCAAAATCAAGCTCGGGTCGCGTTCGGTTTGAAACTCAGCAGCGAAGTGTCGAAGTCAACGGAATTAGCACGGGAGTTACCGTCGGTGGTCGACGGAATTCTTGTCGCGGAAATTCTCGTCTACGGAATTCCAGTCAATGGAATTTGCTCGGCAAAATTCAAGGCTCCGAATTTCGCATCGACGAAATTCAACGTGCCACCCGGGTCGACACTTTCTTGTGTTCTTTTATTTTGTATTGCGTCCTAGTATAAAACCAGAGAGCACAAACCAGAAATCAACCAAGTCATTATCACTGCTATGTTTGTGTGTAACTCTGGATATAGTGGACCGTTTCCTGCAATCTTTGGTGTGTTGGAATCGTGCTTTTGAGCTCTATCAAGCTGCTGTAGTAGTGGAATTCTACAAAGAAGGGAAAGGAGGACTTATCGAATGATGGCTTCTCCTCCTTATCCTTATAGAAAGAGACGGTGCTTGCTGGTCATACGTTGGCTGACCCCAATCAGCTCATTCTAGACTCTGGAGCAACCTGTGGAATGGTACCTCAGCGCGATGTCTTAACCACATATCACTCCCTCCCATCTAACTCCAGAAATGTGATTGTGGGGAGCAAAGATACGCTGCAAGCAATCGGCATCGGCACCATCACCATTAAGGGGAAGGAGGGGGAGGTGCTGAATGTGAAGGGTGTGCTTCATGTTCCTGAATTGGCAGCCAACCTTATCTCATGCTCTCAACTTGCGAGGCAAGAATACATATTCACCTTCACCATGGAAGGTGGCCTTTGCTGCCAGACATGTCAGGCATTTGCCTATCACTATCAGGGGGGCACTACCTTCTAGCTTGGCCAGGGCTATCAGACGTGATGGCGTGAGCAATTCAGCTACAGGCTGTGGCAGCTTCCCTTTCAGGATAGTGTTAACCAAGGCGTGGAGGTGGGTGCAGCCGAATGCGTTTGTGACCGCCACGTCGCGAATGTGTTCAAAGTTCGTCCCGCTCGGGCCGGCTCCCACCCCGTTCTCGCATCAGCTCAGTAACTTCACAAAATCTACGTGGGCAATTTCCATTCCTGCTGGTTCGGTGCTGGGTGGCCAGTCGAGTGGTTCGGCGTCGGCTGGTGGGTGCTTGCGGCGGAGCTCGTCCAGAATTTGGGGACTCGGTTTGCAGTCTGGTGTTGACTCGAGAGCCAGGACAGCCCGACGTAGGCTTCCCCGCTTTGCCAACCCTTCGGTTTGGCTGATGACGCCCGCGTCATCTGGCTGGTGACGCGGCAGGGGTGGTGTGTTGACCGCTTCAACTGCGTCAGAGTACAGCTATTCCCATTCTCCTCGTTGGAACGCACGCAGTCGCGCCTTGACCTGCGACCAATCTGGATGCCGTGTTGAGGCCTGGCGCAGTGTTAGGTGCGGGAGAAAAAACAGTAACCGCCAGCCTGCGATGGAGTCGGGGTTTCGCGAGAGGAGTAGTAGCGGTGTCAGTAATGCCAGCGAGAAGAAGTGGCACAAATTGGGCAGTAATCGTCATAACAGAGGGGGTTGGCGACTATCACAGAGCTCCGTTATGTCCCAGTTTGCCACTTCTGCAAACCCGTCTGCGTGCCTCGCCAGCGAAAAGTAGCGCGGGGGTGGCATCTGCGGCGCCGTGTTGGTTTGTGCGCTCGCGGTCCGATGTGCGCGGATGCGGTTCGATGATGGGGTGGTTGATGTGGTTGGATTTGTAGCCGTTTGATTGCCAGCCCGTGACTCCCCTCCGTTCCTCAGCTGCGCAGCTGCATCTCGCCCCCTAACTTGATTCTCTCTCCTCGTTTGTCCTTCCTCCCCGTCTCCTTCATTCTCGCCACTGCTGGATAGTGGTTGAGGTTCCTCCCTATAAGTAGGGTCCGCTGCTTCCTCAGGATAAGTAGCCTCCGTGTTAGCAGCTAGCATTATTAAAGCCAGTCGACCTGCTGCCTGAAACGCCTTCTCAGGTCCCCCTCCTGTACCGCTTCCTCCTCGTCGTCCCGCGCCCCGACACCTTCCTCCTTGCGATGGTGATTGCTGGTGGGCTCGAGCTCTTGCCAAAGCACGTTGTCGTTGCGTCAGTGGTGCGCAAAAATTCACCGCCAGTGACTGCATCGGCAAACGTTGCGGCGAAGCCGCCATTTCCGCCTACCCCGAGAACTGTGTCGGCGCCAACTGCGGGGCCGATGGTCGCCCCTGCCACTCTTGGCGGCGACTTGGTGCTGGCAGCGGTGTCCGCCACCACTAGCGGCCCAGCCCCTGCGGTGGTGTCTGCCAAGGCTGTTCAGTCGGCGCCTGCAGCGCCTCCGCTGGTTCCGCCTGGTAGCCGTGTCGTCCGCAGTCACCCGATCGCCGCCCATCACGACCCCATTCGCCCTTCCCGCGTGATGAGCGGGAGTCCTCGCGGCGTCGAAAGGAGTCTCCTCAGCGCTGCTCATCGGGCGAGAACTGGCACGCGTGACGGGGTGGGCGAGGGGGCTGAAGGGGAGGTCACGGTCGTGGACGTGGTGAGGTGTTCGATGGGCCCGTGACGATGGTGGACTTGCAGCGGGTTGTAACGGCTGCGATGCGCGAGGAGAGGGCCCTGCAGACGAACCAGCAGTTCTCTCGTGCATCTGCCGCTCCTCCTCCTGTTGCACCTCCTGTGACTTCACCGGCGGCGGCTCCTCATCATCCTCCTGTTCCCCCTGCTCCTTATCCGTCCCTTCTGCCTGGTGATTTTGCTCCTCATGCTGCTGGTGCCGCGTTGCCGTTCCAGACGTTCGTGGTTCCTTCCCGCGTGGCAGAGGTTCTAGAGGCGACCCTTGGGCAGTTGTGGCGCCTCTCTGAGGGTTTGCGGGCTGTGCATCTGATCCACATGTACGATCACATGGGTCTCTCCCGTGGGAACACCCTGGATGGCGGTTCCCGGGACGAGTGTCTTGACGCCGTGGATCGGCTCGCGGAGCTCCTGGCGCACGTGTTGGCTGCGCCTGCGAGGGGAGGAGTTGCGGTGGTGCGGGAGCTAGACCGCTCTCTGACTGGGCTCCTAGCTGTTCTCGACGTTGATCAGTTCTAGAGCCCTCCCCCTCCTGCTCCATTGTTGTTTCGAGTGTTTCCTAGGTAGATGAACTTGTCATTGCGTGTTTGTCCCTGATTATAGCTGTTTGTGTATGTTGACACTTGCGTCCCAAGCGCGCGGCCGCAGGCCGCGCTGTCGAGCGTCGGCCGGTGCGAGCCGCTCGGTTTGGGAGAAGAACTAAACGAAAAACCGAATAATGAAATGGGAATGAGGCCACAACAGCCTTCATACTAGAGCTAGGGAGGCTTTGGAGGCTTGAGAGGCTAAGTCACTAGGTGCCTCTCTCTCTAATGGTCCTTGTATTGATATAGCAGGAAAGTACAAGCATGCACGGTATAAGGGCCTAGGTAACCAACAAACAAAGCCAACCAGTCACACAACTACCACACCGTCACACACTCTAGAGCTCCAGCAAAGGCTCGACCACCGCAAAGCAGTCCCCAAGGTGCATCTCCTGCCCTATGCCTCCAACAGGTGGGTTCTCAGCTGCTGCAGCCTCCCCCAATTTGATCAAGAGTCCCACTGACTGAGCCCTCTGGAGGGCCACAGACCACCTCTGTCTGAATTGATGCAGAAACTTGGCGGCATAGAAGGATTTTGAGTCGGCGTTGAAGTGGCGCCGAGCCGCTGTGTCTGCCAGGAGCTTGAGGAAGACCGGGACCTCGGCACATGGGCAGCCGTAGGTGTCTACCGCCAGTGGGAAGAAGCCTATCGTCTCTGGGCGGTTGGCGTAATGTTTTATTTTCTTGTCCGCTTGCTCACGCGCCGCCCACCCCCTGCCCTTCTGTGCCTCTGGGTCCCTGGTGCTGATGGGGTCAGTGATGGTTACATCGCAGATGTAAACCGCCCCACTGCTTCTGTCGGTCATAGTGAAGTCGGCGGTTTGCTCCTCGATGGGGCAGTAGGCGGCCGACTCTCTGTGCACTATAAACCCTGCGTCTTGCGCCATGCTGACGCAGGCATCCCTTAGCTCGTTGTGCGTGTTCGTGCGGTGCTTGCCTGTGCCGCAGCGGAGCAGGTGGTTCGGAAGGCGGGGGTCTGTGATAGCCGTGTGGTCAGCGCAGTCACAGTTTTTGGGGGTCGAAAACG